ATCTATCTATCTATCTATCTATCTATCTATCTATCTATCTATCTATCTATCTATCTATCTATCTATCTATCTATCTTATAAAAAGTTAATCCCATGTGATCTGCTTTCAATACTGGCTGCACCAGTTAATGAACAAAATACGTGCAGTCTCTTGCTCTGATGTTGCCTAGAGCAGGGCTTCTCAAGCCATTTGGGTCTGGGGACCCCTTACAAGGGCGAAAAAATTCCAGGGACCCCCTCATTAACCTCATGCTGTTTTAAAAGATAATTTATTGTTGTTTCAACCCTTAAATGCCATGGCAATATATATTTTTATTAAGTTTAATTATGTTTGGTTTATTAGTTCATTGTTCTAATGCATTTTTAAAAATAAAAAACAAATTAACAATTTAGTGAAATTTTTGAGGACCCCCAAGGTACCTCTCGCGGACCTCTGGGGGTCCTGGGACCCCAAGTTTGAGATCCTCTGGCCTAGAGTGAGGAGAGCACAGATTTAGAAAGACTAGATAAGCTGAGGCGGAGTCTCTGGCGTCGTCACACGGCGGCCATCTTGCTACAGACAGCAACACTAGCTGTAGCTGTGGAAATTGTGTTGAGGTGAGCGATTTACACAAACAAAAATACGCTTTATTCGCTGAAATCTTGACGGATTTACAAACAGTTTGGTTTGTCACAAAGGTTATTAACGTGGCTATGATTTGGGCTAGTTAGGTATGTTGAGAATGCAGCTTTTATTTAAAAAATGATTAATTGTGTTGCAYAGTTCACAGCTAGCTTCTTGTGAATGTTATTGTTCTCAAGGCTGGTCAAGATTTAAAACTCAAGCTAAGTTTTCCTCAGACCAGTAATGATTTAATGACYACATAATCTTTTGTTTAAGTGACGATTTTAATCATGATTGTATTTATAGCAGGCTATTAATAAAAGCCTGTCATTAAGACCTAGCCAGTAATTCAAAGTTTACCAGCAATTTAAAATGATCAGGAGCTCTTTGTTTTTAACTTAACTGAAGCTGCACCTGATTTACAAGCAGCGTGGTTTGTCAAAAACTAATTGCTGCTTTGTGTTTACAGAAGTAAACCTCCACAATATACATCATAAATATAATTTATAAAATATAATGTATAATTAAATGTCACACTACAGTAGTTATTTCTGCAAGTTTAGGAATAAATAATGTTTTGTTGATCACAGCACATTTTAGACTTTTTTTCACTCGTGTTTATTTTAGCAGGTAGAAACAAGAAGCACAACCACATGTAGAAGAGTTGAAGACGACCCGCTGATGAACCTCAGTCTGATGCTGAGTATAGATTGATTTAGGCTCATAATTGATAAGTGAATATTGATTTATTAACAATTTTATTTCCACATTACTATTATTTGTATCCAAAGCAACATGGGGCCACTGCAGAGAGGTGAAAGCAGTCCAATGACCACCCGTACCCACTGCCTGCTGTCTCAAGACTTTATAAACTAAACTGAAGGAGCCACAGCCAGAGAGAGGAAGCTGCACCTGGAGAAGTCTAAGCAATTAGTTTGAAGTTTTAAGGCCTTTGCAAGAGACAAGAGGGCCAAGAAAAACTGTAATATACAGTGTGTAGTTAAGAGGACTAGACTCAAGAATATATTTGATAAATAATAAAACAAATCAGTCGTGTTATTTACACAAATTTTTTGGTGGTTGTTGGTTTATTGAAGGCAGGCAGACGTCTCTGAAATGAATAGATCTAGTTCAGACCTGGTTTAATCCTGGTTTTTGATCTGGTAAAACTACATCCTTAAAAAATTTGTTCTGATTTATAAACTCATTTTTAGTGAAAGAAAATTTCCCAAAAGGCCAAACCGAGTTGGGTCAAACTTCCAGCTGTTACCTTTGTGTTCTGTGTGGATGTATTTGTTTAAAAAAATTAAGTAGGTCTTTTGAATGTCTTCTTATTTTTAATAAATATTTATGTTCATTGTGAATTAATTACATGAGTGTAATATGATTTCTGTTCAATGGGGT